TATAATAACAATGAATGCGATACCTACAGCAAACTTGGTTTCGTATTTAATTATTTTATAATTCATTTTATTCATTGAATAAATAAAATAAGAAGAATATTTCAAACGCTAGAATATAATTAATTGTTAATTAATAAATAAAAATAATAATTGTTGTAAAGGAGAATATAAAAGATAAATGATAATTGATAAATGCATTGAAAATTGTATTTCGAAGAAAAATATGTGAGGTGGAAATTAATTTTATTTCAAGGAATTAAGTTGATAAAAAATATTTTTAATTAATAACGTTTAATTTAATGACTTATAATTACTTTTCTTACTGTCTATACGACGTACTGAGGATCGTGAACAAGTTTATAAAATTGATTGTAAGAAGTAAAAGATTGAGAGCTTAGTAGCATTTTTGTAATGAGTTCTATAGAAACATACACTTGCTTGTTCCCTTTGATTTAAGATTACCCATAGTTTATGCACTGGTTCAAAAGTAGCTGGACCAAGTAACGTTAGTGAATATAAAACTTTGAGGAAGAGAGGAAGAGAATGAGAGAGAGAGAGAGAGAGAGAGAGAGAGAGAGAGAGAGAGAGAGAGAGAGAGAAGAGAAAAACAAACCTGGTAACAAAGAACCTCATTCCTCTTAGGAACGCTCCGCTTGTTACGCTTTTGCTGTTCCCACATCGTTTCCTGCATGCGCCTTCAGTCTATTCTTTATGATACAAAGAGCGCATAAATTTATAAATGTAAATGCATGCATACGCGTAGAAAGAAAGAGTGATGTTCTATTATTGAGGAGAAAGTTTTCGGTTCGAGCGTATGCAACTATTTATTTTTGACAGGCGCGTCCATAATATCTTCATTTATGAATAATGATATGATTACGTATAATGATATGTTAAAGGATTTACTTATCAATCATATACGTGTAATAAATATAATGGTAATGAGAATTTATTTATTATAATATATAATTTAATTTTATTATAATTTATTATAATAAATAATTTATTTAAATTTATTTAGAAATTATTTTAAAAAATGATTTACGTTAGAATGTGCTTTATAAGCAATATTTTAAGGAAAAGTATATAATAATGAAAACAAATTATATTTTTATAGTAATATATTATATTTCTAGTTTAATTCCAAATTATTTTTCTCTATTAATAAATTTTTCCTTTGTTAATAAAATAATATTACAAGTCTTATCAAATTGATCATATCTGTTGAAAGTTAAAATATTAATCATATAAAATATGATTAGAAATAGAAAATATAAAAAGTTGAAAAACAGGTGAACGTAAATTTCTAATTCATAACTTCATATTGTGCATGTAGGTATCGAGATAACAGTGAACATAATCCTATTAGAAGAAAAAAGTAGAAAATAAATTTATCAATAGTTATTAAAACTCCAAAAACCATGTTTGAAATAAAGGGTAAAAGACGAATGTTAACATCTTTGTAAAGCTGACTTTTTAAAATACCATTTCTAATACGCTAATTAATGTTATTAAAAATACATTTAGTTTTTAATATTGTGCATCTAAAACTTAAGTTTAACAAACATTTGTCAGCCAATAATCAGTGCTGAGACTAATGAAAACGGTGAAATTGTAAAAATCTTCAAAAAAGTCCTATACAGAAACTAAATTATTTCAAATATGACGAGAATTGATATTACTTATCGAAATTTTAAAAATAGAAAAGTTAAATAAAAGAAATCAACCTTTTTAGTAAACAGATTAATTATTATTTATTTAATTATCAGTTTCTATTACTTTAGTGTTAAATTTTATATGTATAAATTAAAATATCTTTTTCAACCTTGTAAGCCAATAGATAATTAAGAAATAAATGTTTTTAAAAATTTATTCTATATCTAAAATGTTTTAAAGCTCAATTTTTTAAACAAACCTTTTTACGAATCATTTGAAAATAATTAAAAATTTTAGTTTAGTAATTAATATATTTTATTATAGGAAGAGTTAATATTAGTATTTTTACTGACTATAAACAATTTTATATTTTCATTGATGAAAAAGAAAAATTTCTATTTGGAAGATCGATTTAACTTATTTAAATTATGATATTACTTTTTTTTAATTTTTAATGTTGTTTTATAGAAGTATGTTTGTATTTTATTTTTCCTCTTCTTATAAAGTTTATTTTCTGTTTGTATCATCCCATATTTTTAATTTTGTTTATTTAACTTAACAGCTTTCAATCATTTTTATTTTAGTTATTCCGATATTTATATATTTTCAATTTTTATGTTATTTATGTATTTTGAGTAAATAATTATAAAGAATAATATATGGCTTTAAAATAAGATCCACTAATAATTTAATTAATTTTTTTATTATTATAAAAATTATTTATAAAATTGAAGTTAAATGAAAAATTGAAAACAAAAATTAAAATCAAAATAAAACTTAAATTTTAACAAGTTTCTTACTTATATACATTCATAAATCAAAAATTTTTCCTAACATAAAATGTCAGTATGGCGTATAAATCGGACACATTCTTACTTTTATATAATAGATGATTAATTATTCGATTTCACTTGTAGTTTCTTATACGTATTATTACAAAATATATGAACTTGTATATACGGTAATATTATACATAAATTTATAATCTATAAAATTTTCTCAACTTATCCCTTATCTGTTTTACATTGATGTATCGGCATGCATAAAACAATATCATAAAACTTAATCTGCACAAGGAAAAAAAAAGATCAACAGTATTAAAGTACCCAGTATAAACTCGTGTAAATTTCTTAAAAATATAGAAAGAAATTTATTGAGAAATGTTGTTATAATTCTTTTTTATTATTACAAAATTCTATAAATTACTAGAAATTCTAACTAATGTAATTTTTTAATAGTTGAGAAATATATATTATATGCTATATATTAAATATTTGATTTATAACTGTAATATTCTATAAAGTTATTATATGTCCAATAAACCATTTTTTATAAAAAATTAACACAGATAATTTTAATATTATTGATTGCTTAATGATTGTGTAGCAGAATATTTATGTTTATGTAAGTGTCTATACAATATTATTTTATCATAAGTGTTAACTTATTTTGTTATAATTAATACTAATGTTAAAATCTTTTTTTTTATTTATTCTGGATTCACCAAATAATAAAATAAAATATTAAATTTTATATTTTTTTTTACCCATAATCTTTACGTTTGTATAATTAATATTCATTTTAGGTAGTTTATATACAGGAATGAATATTATTACTCAATTAAAGACTAAGTATTGAATTAGAATGTTGTTGAAATTGATTTATAGCTCTTATGAGCATTATAATATCTTTTATTATAATAAAAGAAAATTATAAACAATAACGTTAATTCATATTTGTTAATAGTTCGTTTACTAATTGTTATCATTTACAATTTATTATAGCTAAATATATTCGAGTAAACTATTTATTTTCTAATTTTAAAATATATAGTGTAGTATTTATGGATTCGAATGCTCAATTTCATTAGTTTTTAAATCTAATGTTTTCTAGTTTTATTTTTCAATTTTTAAAAAGATTTTATGATAAAACTTAAGAGTATTGTATTTTGAAAGATCATTAGAGTTGATAAAATAAATTATAGAATAAAATTATTAATTGTTCATATATTTGTCATTTCAATTTTTCATATTAAAAAGACCGAAATTATCATATACAAATTCATTTTTAAATCTGTACAATTTAATATATCTTGCATGTTCATAAATCTAAAAAAAATATGAAAAATTAATCGATAGTCAATTATATAGAAATGCTAATTTAATAGTTACTATACAAAGGAAGTACGCAAGTAACGGAACTAATAACGAGAATTTAATAAAAATCACCAAGCGAAATGAAGCTATCGTTTTTCCTTTTATTTAATTTAGAATAAATCTATTCTAATCCATTTGTTAGCATATCCTTGGTAATGTTCAAGATCCGTATGATTAATGCTTTTTCAGTGTGAATTTTTTTTATCTTATAAGTACGATAATTATAGTCGAGTCATCTCAGCTTTGCATCTCATCAATAATCCATACATAGATATTCTCTATCTAGATGCTCTATGTACAAAAAGTACGTGACATCGGACACTGAAACCCTGTAAATTTATCACCAGAATACCGAAGAGAGTATTTGAATAACGCCCGTTCGAATGTTTCATGACGCTTGAGTACGATGAATTTTCAAATTCTTTTTTCTTCCCTAGGCGGTAGACGCTTTAACTGCTCCATCCATACAATATGCATACAAGTAGAAAGCAGAGCAGATGAAACTTAATGATTTCTTGTTATTTAAGAAAATATGTGATATTTGATTATGAAAAGATAATTAATTATACTGCCAATTATAACAGAATATACGGAATATTTTAATATTGATTATAAATATCTTTTTTTTTTTAAATGATTATATATTTAAAATATAATATAGTTGTTTATCTCGGTAAAAGCAATTTAGACTCTGTTTTTGCGTGCACCTTTTCAATGTTTGTATTTTAACGAGTACATGACAATCGTTAAACTTGAGATAATAAAGGGTATTGTAAAATCGGGAAAATTAACTTATTTCACTGAGTCTGTAAATGGAAGATGTTTAGACATTAAAGTGGCAGAATCATTGAGCGTTCGTAAAGTTTAATGTAATTACAGTAAGTCAACATGGCACACGAAGCTAAAATATTGATTTAACACAACCAAATATCGCTAATAAATATCATTAACAAATAAATATAAAAACTCAAGCAAATCAGCTAGAGAATCCTTTCCAAGAACAGGCAAAATAAAAATCACAGCTGTGCATTCATTAACAATCGCGATTTCAAAAACAACAAATGGCAAAAACGAAAGTAGGAAGAAAGCTCTGAAATAGTTTATAAAGCCGATATTTGTCAGGCGTTTTGGATTAATAAGCGCTTGTATCTTGTATAAAATATCGTCTCTTTATTTTTCCCATTGCAGAGAAGCGAGAGGAGCGTAGGAGCTGAAAATAGCTTGGTTGGAGCATCAGTTCAGTAGCGAGGGAATGGCGCCGGGGGTCAGGAGTTGAACGGCAGCTTTGCGCCCGGACGCTCCCGAGCGATGAACAGGTGACAAGCGATGCCGAGCGATAAAGCCACCGTTCCCGAAACATGCGAGAAGAGGGATTGAAGTACGCAAGAGGATAAGGAGCCTGGTGCCAGTCCCTGGTGGTGCGTTCGAGCGAGGCTTGGGGGAGAGGGCGAAGTGACTCGATCGATCTGAGAGGACCCGACGAGATGGCGCGCCCAGCGACTGCGGTATCGGTGATGCTTATAGCGCTAACTGCTGGCCTACTCTTGGACGGCTGCCAGACCGATGAGAAAGGTAAGAAAGGGGCATTGATTCCAATTTATTGTGCCGACATTCGGATCGCCCTTCTTATTGAAGCACGATACGCAAGTGCCCGCTTAATGTTCTTATTAAAAACGAACTGTTAGGTTTCATTCACTTGCGCCCATATAAAAATATATACAAATATACCGCTCATATCCAAATATATATATGTATTATGTATTTGTTTGTCATTGTAAAAGATTTTCTACAGCTTCAGTCTTTCGCAAGAATTTGATACTAATTTTTGTAAATTACTGGCTACTAGCATGAGTTTTCTGCATGTTGCTTAACAAATAACTGTGGAAGAATATAATTTTTTTAGGATGAAAAAATTATCGAGACGCACAAAATAATGGTAATGAAGAAAAAAATTCTGAACACAAAGTCTACTTTATAGTATTTATCATTTACTCATATTCTTTGTTTATAAAAATTTATTTTCCAACTAAAAAAATAAATAACAGGCTAAATATAATAACTTATGTAATATAATAAATTATAAGTAGTACTGAAATAATATCAATATAATTTTAAAAATTATAAGGTTGATTATATTATATATAACTGTAAGAAATATGTCAAAGTTTGATTTTAATTAAATTCTTCCAATTAGTTATCTGAAAATTATTAAATTTTATAACGTTTGAACCTTGCGAAATTTACATTTTTAATTAAAATATACTTTTTAGTCTACACACTTTATTACTTTTTTACCTTTTTAAAATAAAAATATTGTATTTATCAAGATTATTTAAAAGATTTATAATCATAAATTTGAAGGTATGAAGAACAACATTTTTTCAATTATAAGACGGAATTCCGTAATGACTAACTAATATATAAACAAATTTTTATCTACATAAATTTTATGTATAAATTTTCAATAATTTTTTCAATTATTTATATAATGGGAAGACATATTATTAATTATAGTGTGTTTCAGTATCCTAGTAAGATTTTATTTAGATTCATCGAAGTACTTTATTTCATGGATATGTAAGATGTATATTCGATATATAATTTGTCAATAAATTTTTTTATTACATTTGCATTAACATATAGCATTTTATATTTTAATTTTCATATTTTGACAAATAAGCAGTTTTCGAAATTATTATATATTTCTAATTTTCTAAATTGAAAAATTTAATTTTCCGATGGTTTATTAAAACAAAACTTATTTTCTTTTATCATAGCATACATACAGATCAGCCTCAGTAATTTATTTATTCCTTATAAAAATTTATAAAAAATATATCCATAGTCCAGTGAATAATTAAAATTATTTTATTTTGAATGAATTATGTATGATGCTACACTACCTTTAAATGTTTTGATATAGCAATTTTCAGCAGTGAAAATTGTAATGGCATTATTTAGTATTACGGATATAGAGACTCTTAAAAAAGTAAAATACGATCGATACGTGTGAAAGGGGGTAAGAAACTTTAAAGTTTAGAATTGTTTGTGTAAAATGGAACTCGCAGGCGAAGACAAAGAGAAGAAGCGAGAATTGGAAAGGTTGAAATCAGTGATGCGCGAGTGAAAAATAGTGTGAATGCGATTTATGACTGACTTTATCCCATTAATTTATTGAAATATTTAATAAATATTGTTAAGAATATATTATATTACCAATTGAAAATGATATAATTGTTTTAATTAATAACTAGTCTAATTTGAAATATTATATTTATAAATAAACTTTCAAATTGGTTAAACTTCAGTTTAATAAGTAACTAATTATTCCATGTAAAATAACAATAGAATATAATTTACTGTTTGCCACTATGTATATATATATATATATATTATTTAAATTACACGTACTTCTTAAATTAACCTTTATAATTAATTATTATTAAAGTAATTAATTAATTAATTATTAAAATCTATGATTTTAGATTTTTAATTTATATAGTATTAATGCAATTAAAAAAAATATTTTCTATTGTATTCGTGAATGTTATTCAGACAATTTTAAATATTTTTGTTTTTCATTTAATAATCTACTATATTTTGATAAAATGTTTCAATGAGAAATACAACACGCATTATAAAAAATCTATTATTCTAAAATTATTTACATTAAATATTCATGTAAATTTTATAATTAAATGAAATTAAATATATTTTAATACAAATATTATTCATCGCGTTTATTATAATTAAGATATTTTTAATTTATATCGTTGAAGCAGTAAGTTAAGTAATAAATATCAATATTAAAATTATGAAATATCAAAAAATCTAATATCAAATTCCTGTCTTTATTAATACAAATTTTACCATTTATTTTAATTCGTAAGTTAAAGACAATTTGTACAAATAAAAGACAATGCAATTGATATATATATATATATATATATATATATATATATATACATATATGTATATATGTATATATATGTATATATATGTATATATATATATATAGTTATAAAACAAAAATATTGCAGGCTAATGAATGATATTAATTTTTATTAAAAAAAATATTTTTCTTGTAATTTAAAAAAACCAAAACTTCGATTTTCAGTTTCATAGGTCATTAACATATTTATAATTATATCTAATTAGAAGATATATATAAGTATATTTGAATTTGATGGTTAATGAGTAATTTAATTCAATATTAGAAATCCAAAGTTAGAGTTTTTTTTTGAAGAACAGTAACAGAAATTTTTTTCACTTTTCAATTTTATTTATTTTAGAGACATCTTATACTAAGGTATTATATTATAAGGGGAAAGCAAAAATGAGTTCTTTCTTGTCTATCTACAGAAGAGAAGTTTGCAGTAAACAAAAACGCAAGGAAAAAAGTTAAGTCATCGCGTCGATCTTCCCTCTTCCGACTCGTCGGCAAGAAGTCTGACGGTGGGCCAAAGAGACAAATAAGAGACTTTTTCTTTCTAATTTTAGATTTTAGATTGCCGTCTCTGGAGATGCGCGACTCCCTCGAGTTTACTTTGAAAGTACCTCCACTCACTCTTCTTCCGTCTTGCTCGCTCTTTTATGAAAACAGAGCTCTTGTAATTTTCACGTTTTCAATTTTGAATGCTGGATCATTTGTTCCTACTTAATTTTATCTAATTACAGTCTTTATATATAATAAATATGATAAATTAGCCAAATTTGAAGAAATTCTATTTCGTTTGTATGCTTATAACTTAATAATTTAGAACATTTATTTGAAGGTATAAATTATGATTATATTATTCATAATAGATATAATTATTAGTTATTTTTATTGATTATTATATATAATTATATTTAAATTATTTAAGACGATAAAAAAACATTCCGAAAATCGTAATTTTAGTAAATATATTATGGTGAATTTGAAAAGAGAAGGTCGTGTCGTTGCTTTGTTCTTGAAAAATAGAATGCATTTGACGACGGACACTGTTTTAATTATCTTGTTTATGGTGTTGAATGCTTTATATTCTCATAAATTTGAGAGAAAGAGATAAAGAGAGAGAGAGAGAGAGAGAGAGAGATCGAATTTACGAACAAGGATTTTTAGAACATAAATAGTATTATTTGCTATGCCAACAAATATCTAATCGTGAAATTATACCTTATGAAGAAATATGTTGTTTTCCAAAAAAGCGATTTGGAAACTCGAAGTAATTAACGAATACAATATTTACAGATAAACTACAATATGTATTTATATGATATATAAGTATACAGATGTTTGAAATGAATAGAATAAATCAAACTTTCAAATCGACTTTTCCTTAAATATATGAAAATATTACTTCGGTATTATAAGTTCAATAATAGATTCATAACTCATTTCATACTTTTATAACATCAATTTTTCTACACAAGAATGTTCAATAAGTAAGGCAATGAAAATTTTTACATTTTTTTTACGTAATTGAAATATAAATTTGTTTCATCAATAAAATTCTTCTAATACTACAAAATTATAACTCATTTCATATATCTTCTATTTTAATACATTTCATTATTTAATAAAAATCTATTATTTATCTTCCATAATTATTAATATATTATAAATATTAATTTAAATGTATATATATATATAAATATGCGCATATGCATGCACGGATACATGTAATTAAATTTGTAAACAAATAATTAAATTTTTAATATATTTGAAAAGTTATAGATAAATTACAATAAAATATATATATACTTATATATCTATATATAATATATATTTAAAATAGTTTTTTTATATTAATGAAACTTATTAATAATTTTCAGTTATAATTGAATTTATTCAATTTTAATAAATAAGAAAATTCCTTGAATTATCATTACACGATTAGTTGAATTAATGATTATAAAATTTTAAATTAATATTTTGTTGTTTGAATCACGAATTCTGTAGTAAAATCAACATAAGAATTATATCAAAGACAAACATTATCCTTTCTTGCTGTGTTTAATCAACTTTTCATGTGATTATAGCAAGGGTGTCGAAAAAAATTAAAATTGTGTTGTCATTCTTTTAACGGAAAATATCTCATATAATTTAATGTTTAAATAAAATATTAATGTGACCTGAAATCGTATGCTATGAAATTATTCTATATATCTGTGTGAAAGAGCATAAGTTTATTATGTATTAAGAGATACTGAATCATTATTATCCGAATTCAGATTGAATACATATAATTCATTAATAATTAATTTAGTCTTAATAAATATGTTTGTGTATTTTTATAAATATTTAAATTTATGTATAAAAATTAATGTTAAATAACTATATTTAAAGAGCCTATTATATCAAAGTAGTATGTCTAATTTTATTATAAAAATTAAAGAAGCATCATATTTATAATATATTTTATTTTGTTGATTTTATTCATTCTAAAAATTATTATTCAAAAGATATTTTACTTTTTGGTTGAAATTTTTCTACAAATTTTGGTTTCTACTTGTTTACAGAATCGAAAGTTTTATAATATTTGTTTTTGTCATTCACTAGATATTTTTGTAATGTATTGAAGGTGTAA